CTGCCCAGCGCGGGCCCGCGGCTTCCTGAGCCAGAGCAGGAGCTTGTTGTAGTTGCATCCAAACCAGCTTGGAATGATTTGTAAGCTGCCTGGGGGACATCCAGATGTACGAGAGTATCAAGAACAGAAAAGAAATGGATCATGCGTTAAGCCGTGACCTTTCTGTCTGCGGATGTTAGGGCATGTCTGTGACGAGCTTGCTTGACATGCGTACAAAGATTTCTATCTAAAGTCTTCCGCTTTTAGCGGCTCGCATCCAGCTGTTGGAAGCACCGCCCTCTGCCGAGTGCTTGACGAAAAGTTTCTTGAGTGACAGCAGAAGAGATTCATTTATGGATGCCCTTCCCGTTAAGGCTGATAACAATTCAGGGTCTCATAATGGCTACTTGTTCCAGCCGCAGTGGCGTTCGGGTGTCATGTGACTGTTTGATATACACAAGTGTGAGTCGCAGCTTTTCACCAAATCCTTGAACAGCTTGCAGCTGGCAGTGCTATTTTCAGGACTCCGACCCCACGGCCGCAGCAGTGGCTCAGCGATTAGACCGAGCTTTGCGGAGGCTTATTGATGACATCCCTGTGCTACACGTAGATTGAAGGAACTCCATAAGCCGCTTTGCTCATGTGCGCATGGAAATTACGCACCGCAGTCTGAACAATCAAGCATGACAACTGAGGGTGAAGAGCTGCAAACATGCAACAGGTCCGGTCTAACTCCAGTCTCATGCCCCCTCGCTGATGTGGTGCGGGCCCTGCGAATGCTTTCTGAATTTGTTAGGCCGCATGTGCAGAGATTCCATTCCAGACACTGGTCCGACTTTTGGGCTGTATCATTGCCACGCGGCAATCTGATGCTTGTGGTCATAGTGTCTACTGCGTCTACAGGGATCTGTGGTGGAAGTACTTACATAGCTTCCAAGCTGAGTCTGATGTGTTTCCAACGGTGTCAGGGCGCAGGTTCCTCCGGCCAATCACCCGATTCTCAGCATGGACTTTTTGAACCATGCGTTTTGTTGGAATTTTTTGATGCCATGACAGGCCGCTATGCTGGACATCGACAGCGGGCAGGCCGACTTCTTTTGCATCTTCGCAGCTGTTTTTGAGCTGCTGTGCAAGTATACTGACTGCGGAAAGCCCGCGCACAGAACATGTGAAAGCCCAACCAGAATGCAGTGACATCCCTTCATCATGCCGCTCACCTGCTCCCGCACTTTGTTGGTGATTTGCTAGTCCTCACGAATGCCCAGCCCCTATGTGCAGAATCGTGCCATCATACATGTTTGAGTGAATTCGGTTCTTGTACCCCTGGACCATATGTCAAGTTGGAGCTCGGGGAGGTGCCGGTAGCCTTTCTCCTGGATGACGCGGCCTGCTACATGTACCCGGCAGATGAAGTGGAAGGACAGCTGGTCATGATTTGACCTCAAAGCTTGCAGGGTTTGAACATGTTTGAACATTTCCGCATTGAGTTTTGGGTGTTAACCGCTTAACCATACTCGAAGCCCGACTGCTGCCTGCTTTGTTGTGTTTTCTGGAGAGGTGTTTTCCAAGAACTGCACCCAGATTGCGCCGTGCAGCTGCCCCAGAAAGATGCTGAACTCGCAGTGGTAGACCAACAGCTTGTGCAGCCGCCCGATCTCAGCTTGTCCGGTATGCGACAAGAGGTAGCTGTGGTAGTGGTGCGGACCTGTTCCTGTTCCTCACCGACTAGCACAGCGGCCGCGAAACTGTGGCGCTGACCAGAAGAATTGAGGTCTTAAGGCTTCAGGCAAAGGTTTAGTTTCATGCTGACAGTTGAACAGCATGTGGCCTGTCAACAGAAGGCACATTTTCCCAAGGCGCGGGCCACTGTTAGCCAATGCTGGGTGGCTGGCCGCGGCCTCATCGTGGTTCGAGCTATAGGTGGGGATGTCCAGGCAAGTGCGCATTCAGAGTCCGAAGCCGATGAACGGTGCGCATGCTGTTCGAGTCCCTCATCAGGCTGCATGGTTCTTAACAACTCACGGCAAGGTTTTGCATGGTTTGGAGCGTCTCAGTCTTCGCGGGTTTGCAACTTGAATCCTGAGCTTGGTATATGTCGACATGTTCTTCAAGCAAATTGCACTTCAATTTCTCAAGTCAGTTACAAAGGAGGTGATCCTTGTGTGATCATTCTGCACTTGGAGTCGCTAGTAGACTAGCTTTCTGTGACTAGCTTTCCTCATGTCCGGCAACTGCTGGCTGGCTAGGCATTGCAGCAGAATTCGCACCTCCAAGAGAAACATGCCACTGAAACCACACGTGCTGCCGTGACTATGGCAGCTCGTGTCAATGGAGTGGCTTAAAAAAGGTATATACTCTTATATAGTACCGTATGCCTCTGAACCGGCAGAAGTGAAGTTCATCGCATGCTGGTGTTAAGCCATACAAACAGGAGATTCTAGACGAAGCTTGCATGCTCGGCCGAGGCATGCTGCTGCCGTTTCGTTATTGTTCCATTCTTTACGGCCGCTGAAACCACATCTGCAACCCGTGTTTAGGTGGCTGGTGTCAAAATTGCGGCAAAAAGGGATCACAGCGCTGGCCTCTGAACCAGCAAGTGCAGAAGATGCGCGGCTTTGGTGTTAAATCCAGCGCAGAGGTCACCACGTTGAGCTAGCTTGTTACGTCTCAAGCGGTCTTGCGAAGATGCTGAATTTGCAATGCCGTCTGAGTTGCCACCTAAACCACACCTGCTGCCGTGACTATGGCAGCTTGTGTCAAAAGAGTGGCGTAGACAACAAGGTAGGCCTCTGAACCGGCATTAAGAACGTTCATCACATGCTGGTGCTAAGCCGAACGGACAGCAGACATGCTCAATTTGTCCCCCACAGATGGTGTAAATTATGTATTTCTCGTACAAAGCAGTGCAGAATCGTGGCAAGGAAAATGAACATTCGAATCATGTAACATAACCTTAGATTGCAAAGGTTTTTTTTTTTTAATTTTGGAGAAATTTTCACGGTGAGGTGCAGCCAGTATTGACAAAAGGTATGCAATTTTGCTGTTGTGTTGTTTTGGGTTAAGGCTTTCATGGGGACGCCATGGGGGTAGACTAAATTACGGCAGAATGTTCTTCACCAGGTTGTCCGCATACGTGCCGTCGACCTGAAGCAGCTTCTTGTCCATGGAGGAGATGCGCTGATAGGAGGCCTCCAACAGGATGTGACAGGACATCTTGCCGTAGTGCCCCTACCAAAGGCAGATATAGAGCTTTCCCGCCCACACTGTCATTCTCCTGCTCTTACAGGGGTAATCCTCCAAGTGCTCTTGTCATAATCCTCACTGTGGTTGTCAGAACCCTGATTGCGCATGAGGCAAAGTGCAGGCGTGCAGACATGTGTTCGTGCTTCAGGCAGCTCGGCACCGGTGCCCAAGCCCTTGCCGAAGCCGGCAGATGCCTCAAGCACTGCGCTAGCGCAAGTGTTCAATTGTGGTTTGCCGTAGGGCTCCAACGCTTTCAGTGCTGAGGGTTGAGGCTGTGCCAGATGTTAGACAGGAATCCCTGGCCCAGCTTTGCCATGAGAAGTACTGCAGACTGAAGCTCCCAAAGCAACAACAAGGATCGTCCGGAAGCCTTTTGGTGGAGAACACTCCAAGATTGCAATCTTCATGCCACGTGAGTATTGTGGCCGCCACCGGAGAATTAAGTGGTGACCTTCTGGTGTCCTTTTGATCAAACTGGTGATTTCATATGATTCGTGGCTGTTGTCCATGTTGAGAGTAGCGGTGTTTCTCGCTAACCTCTCCCGAATTCTCTGAAGACTTCTGTGTAGTTTCCGGTTTCTGTCTAACTTCTTTCTTTTTCTTGCACTATCTCTTTACATTTTTTTATCAGGTTTTCTTTCCGCTTTTGTTCAGTTTCTTTCCAGCTTCTTGCTAACATCTTCAAACTGGTTGTCATACTGCCTCAACCTCCATCATTTCGCTCGGAGAGATCATGTCCATCCTCTTTGTGTGATCAGAAATATGCTATAGTGTTGTGAAAACAATAGGTGTCCCATTGCAACATCTCTAGACTACACAGAAACATGCGCGTACCTCCTCCTGCAGTGTGTGTCACGCTCACCTCAAATGTCCTTCAAAGTTGTCATTGACTGACGCGCTGAAGATATCATACCTCTTTCTTTCGACTCTCCGACACCTCGCAAGTCAAACCTTTCACGACTCCCGGTGTTAATGCCGAAGATGGTCAAAGCTCTAAATCCTGCTCTCGGCAAAGGCCGCTGCAACCAATCCCTTCTTCGGCTGCACGGCTCCACTTCAATGAGGGAATAGGGTTGCAACCGCACGTTTCTTAAAGTGTAATGCATTTCGTGCTTTCCTTTGCGTAGCCATCGATGTAGGCACTGCAGCCAGTGGGTGATATCTGATGTTGACATACTGTACAGACCGCTTGAATGTGGTGGATATTACAATATGTTTAGATGGGATGGTGTTGTCTAGATGCTGGAATCGGACATTGGGACGCCCTTGCATTTGCTTCTGAAGGTCTCCTTCAGGACGTTGCCCGCAAGTTTCGACCATGCCAAGTGGAAGAAGGGGACTCGTGAAGAGTGAGTCCAGCCGTGCTCTGTTTTCTTAGTCGCCTTTCGGGGCTGACTGGGAGGGCAAGTGCTCCATCTTGGAGACGACCTCAAGGTTTTAGGGCTTTGTTGGGCGGGACTGGACAAAGTCTATGGACCCTGCCGTCAGTCCTTCAGCTGCGGCCCAAAGAGTCTGCATCTGGATCATCAGAAGCACAGGCATCAGGAGCTAATGATGAAAATTTGTGGCAGTTGCCCATTTGCTGGTATGCCGCTGTATGGCAAAGTCTATCAGTATGTCTGATAGGGGCTGGCGCGATCAGGGCTTGTCCATTAGGCGGGTGCTTGGAGCTTCAGGCCTCTGGTTACTTCAAGGTATGAAGAGCCAGAATGCGGCAACAACCAGCAGCCTGCCATGGAATCTTACGCCTCTGATCTCTGAACACCTGATGTCTGCAGAGCGAACGCCTCCGAGTCCAAAGCCAACGTCGATGCCAGGATGGACTTGGGAGTTGCGCAGGTTGATGCGTTGCGCAGGTTGATGTGAGCCAAGTGTTGACACGTGGAGGAACACATGCATCAGTGTAAGCCACACCTACATGGCATGCATAGGCACAAGGAATTCACCCTCCTGTAAGCCGATAACTGGCGCCCTACACCATTGTGTCCGGCAAACCTTTCTAAGCCTTCGCAACTTTGAGGAGCTAGGCAGAGCTGAGGCTGCCATGCTCCGCCTGCTGGAGGCCTTGGAATTCAGCCGAAAGTTGTCAACAACAAGGGACTTTTGGATTTCTCATGCCTTCCCACGTGTCAGTCTTGGCAAGGCCGTGGAAGCTCATGGCCCGAACACTCCATCAGGTCCACTTGCGCTGGTGAGGGTCGATCAGATTCGTGGGGCTACCAGACTCTAAGCAGCCCCTTGCACAGGCAGCCAATGTTTCCCAGCCAGGTCCGTCAGCTCCACCTCTGCAGACTGAGTCAAGCTCAAGCCTGCCCGAGTCGTGACCCAAAAAAGCCGGATGAACGAATGCCCAGGTTTCTCTGCTTGTTCTCGTCAACTGCATAAGATAACATATTTCCCTGTCTGTAGCTGTGTGGATAGGTCATTCTCCTCTTTTGAACATGTTGCTTGGGCCGATCATGCAGTCTGGATGTGCATTTGCCTGGGTATAAATGGTGAAAGACTTGCATACCCATGTTCTTCCACAGTTGCTGAGTGGCTTGCGGAGGCCACCTTAGTACAATCACTGCTTTTGTTGCCCGGCTTTCGCCGCTACTGCCGTGGTGCCATACATAGCAGCCGTGGGATGCACTGGGTGCCTGATACGAATGCCAGCTGCGGCTCAAGGAGCCCCAGGAAAAGAGAAAGCGCTTCCTTGGCGCTGCCAGGCTTTTGGCTTACGTAATTCAGATGTCAGCAGAGTTCAGCTTTGATCTGCTGCCAATCTGTATTCATCAGTGTGATGGACGGGCGTCATTCCGTGCATGTGAGCTTCTCTGTCGCATGCAGCAGGATGATGGTACCAGAGGCTGCTGCTGCATGCTATCCGCAGCCTACAACAGAGAGAGTCAGATAGGAGGTGTTTTATGGATCTTTCAATGGCTTTCAGGAAGCAGGCCAAGGTCTTAGTAGCTTTGTGATTGAACCCATGAAGTCCTAGAATGCGAAGCATCCTTTCGGAGCTCTCCCCCTCTGTCTATCTTTTACATGTATATTGTACATTATAGCTCTCTCTATATATGTGTATGTTTATAGAAAGTCTCATTTGAAGGTTTTATGGGTCCCGGGCCTGTGGCATTCTCAATCTAGGCTTTTTAGCCCAGTTTGGTTTTGATAAAGGTGTGAACGCTCAACCCAGGATTTGAACTTCAGGATTCTGGCAACGGGTAAAGAAGCATTGACTGGTTGGTTGCTGGAGTCCTGCAGAACAACAGCTGTAGGGCCACCAACATGTGGAAAGACACGCCTTCATCCCCCTGAACCAGGGCTTAGCAACGCCTGGCTTGCTTTGTTTGTCACATTTGGCCCTATGGAGTGAACGAGCAGTCGGAGCATCAAGTATGATGAGCCTCTGGTGCTGCAAGCCAATTTGAATGGTACTGTGGCTCATATACGACCTTGCACCCCTACCTCAGCCCTACCCTCCATGTGTTATCAAGCCTGGGGCCTGCTAGCGCTGTGACAGCAGAACATGGCAAGCATGTTGCCAGGCTGCTTGTGGTTCAGCATGTAAGAAAACCAAAGCAGGCACAGAGCCCAGTGCGCAGCGTGCGCAGCGGCCGGTGCATCCTGGCCAGGGCCTGTGTTCTTCACTGGAACAGCTCCAGCTCCAGAATGCGGATTTCAATGGTCACTCCTGCACATGCTGCAACTGTAAATGTTACAGCCAGCATGAACGGACCCTGCAATGAACAAAGTCTGAGCACCTGCTGCTGCACATGCCGCCAAAAGCTAAAAACCCTACAGCCAAACCAGCGCGCCTATTTGCACCCAGATGGCTGCAACCCTGAAGTAGTAGACCATGCCGCCCCCTGAAGAATTAGCTGCGTGACTGGGACTACACGCTTTTGACCCAAGCGCCTTGAGCGCATCGCAGCGGCAGAGGTAGCCGCTGCTGTTGCTGCCGCGGCCTTCTCCCTGAACTCTGCGCGGCCGAGCTTTGTCCCGCTTCAGCCTCGGTTAAAGGCTGCATAGGCAACACGTGTGTGGCCCAGTTGGTTGACTGCGACGCCATAGCTGCAGGAAGGAACGACATGTATAGTGGCAGATACAGCACGTGACAGCCGCGGAAAGTTGAATGAGTATTCAAACATGGATCATATCCAGGCCGCCCGCGGTTCGCAATGCGAAGATGGCCCAGGACACAGTTGAGCGTTTAAGAAGGTGAAACCGCCATTGAGTTTTAGGAGGTTCGGTGAGACATTATGGCTGAATTACTGCAGCTAGTAGACGGGTGCAGCTGGAAGAGCTCTGCTCTAGGGGCTGGAAGCCAAACTTTGACCAAGTTGATCGCTCATGCTTGCAGGAAGACCTAGCCAGGCTCCCAGGTTCTTCTTCTGTCTGTAGGGTGCAGATATCTTGCCGTTTGGCTTGTAAAGCATTCTGTTATGCAGTGACAGGGACAAGTCATCGTTTGAATTCTCCGTTTTGTCTCTTTAAACATTCTGCTTGAAGCAACGCGATCTTCATTTCTTAGGCTTTCAAGTAGTTGCCACGCCTTGTCAATGTCCATCACCGTTGTGGCGGGATTTGATTACTAAATTCGATTTGCAAGGCATGAGACTGATGCAACACCTGAACAATGTGTAAAGGATGACCTGGTATGGCTTGCATGCAGTGCCGCGCGGTTTTCGCGCTGGAAGCTTGAGTAGGGGCCGCAAGTGCACAGGCTCCGTGGGACGCGCTTCAGAATTGCTTGGAGGACTGCAGACGAAGGGATCGCACGCAGCATTGCTCATGGCAAATCTTCTAGACCTGCTGTGTTGTATATAATTGCATGAGCCCCGAAGTGCAAAAAGCCTCTTTCATGTTGACCTGCTTGCATAGGGCCAGGTTCAATCGAGATTAGGGACAAGACAAGCCACCTTTAGTGATGAGTGTTGGTTCCATTGCTTGAGAGGCCCAAAACCATTTCAAGAGACATCCAGCTGCAGCAGCAGTGGTCACATGTGTCTCATATTCCGGCAGGATGGAGTTGACGGTGCCCTGACAGTTGAAGCCCAAGCGACCAAGCAGATCTCAGATTTTCTGTTCTGGTTTTCAAGCATGGTGGCTGAGGCCGTGGATGACTTTTTCAGCTCAGCAGATGAGCTTGTGGGGCCCTCTTTGCATTTCGGCTGCAAAGATTTCCCGGCCTGATCCCATCAGTATCCCACAGTGGCCAGTGGGCGTCGATATTATGAGGACCAATGCTTTCAATTTGCAGCTTAGTCCTAATGCGAATCACAATTCAAAGTGGTGCAGTCGCACCGTGTGCAACAAAACATGTCATCTAGCTAGTTGCTAGTTTGCCCTGGCTAAAGTAGTCCATCGTCCAAACCATCAGAACCCAAGAAGTGTTCAAGCAGTGTTTCAAGTACGAATCCGGACAGCCTTCGGCCTCGAATAAACCTGAAGGAATCCGCAACTCCTCCCCGCTGGCGGAGTGCCTGCGCAAAAGGAGACTTTGGTTTTTGGAGTGGTGAGAGCGTTCCAAGTCCGGGTGGCAGAGGTATGGTGCCCAAGATTTCACATCATTCCCAACTTGGAACAAGTTTGCCTCACAGTTGAAGATTGTTGGATAGGTTGTGCATGAATCAAACACAAAGACGTTTGAGGTGCTTGAAGCTCTGACGCCATACCCCTCCATTTGTCCCACGAGGATGGCTTGCAGCAGGTCATTGAGCCCCTAACCAAGCTCTACATGCGCTACAGGCCTGATGCGCTGACCTGCACGCGATTTGAAGGGATTCAAGATAACTGTAGGCGGACTTTGGATCTTGACCATGGCCGTTGTCTGATGAACACGCACCAAATTTCATGCAACAGGCTTCGAGATAGGGAGTTTCGGAAGTTGTGGCTTCAGGTTCAGCCTGAGCCAGCTAAGGGACAGCCGAAGTCGCACTCTGGCCTTTTTTGTTGCAACGGCTTTATACTGTGGCGAACCTTAGCATCATTGTTGCTGTCCCTGTCATTGCTCACAATACTGGCGTTGTTGCTGTTGGTCATGCTGTTGTTTTCTTCTACGTGCGATGCCTGCTGTCGCACTTGCTGCTTGTCACGTTTTCTTTGTCATCTGCAGTGGTCAGCGTCACTGCCACCGCCGCCACTGCTACTGCCACTGCCACTGCCACTGCCTCCGCCACCGCTGCTGCTGCTGCTGCTGCTGCTGCTGGTGCTGCTGCTGGTGCTGCTGCTGGTGCTGGTGCTTGTGGTGCCGGTGCTGGTGCTGCTTTTCTCTGCTACCGCTTGCTGGTGCTGTGGTGGTGCACATTGTAGTGTTTTTGATAGTGGCCGTGACGTTAACACTCCTCCACCATCTCCTCCGCTGGCTGCTTTTTGCGCATGTTGCAAAAGCTGCACCGTACTGAAACGATGCAGATTCATACTTGGCCTGGTGCCGGACTGCCAGGACAGCCATCTATCCTCGCTGTAAGGAGTGCAAGATTGCTCTGGCCCCGGAAACCTTCTTGCTTAGTGCAGTGTTCAGACACGTCGCTCTTACAAAGTGCTAAGTCTGGACGGGCTTGGGGTATTGAGGTGAATCTGAACCTCTTGGATCCATTCCTCGTGTGTGTACTGGAGATACAAGTCCTCAATCGCACAGCCCAGAACAGTTGCTAGCTAAGACGTAGAGACTTGAGGGTGAATTGGATTTGAAATTCAACATGGATCCCCAATCAAGCTTGCATAGGTTTCATTGGATTGTTTGGATGAGGCCGGTCATTACACAATCGAACCCGTTTGCATTCGCCACTGCTGCAGTCAGTCCTTTCATGTTGGGGTCAACTGTCAGGAGGTCAGTTGAGCCCAAGTCCCAGAAACCCAGTAGCTGATGTCGTGGGAAATCTCTCAGATGCGCAGCATGGTCACCTAATGTGCGGCAAGCATGACAACTTCACAAGGCAGTAGGCATGTCTTGAAGTCAACCTGGATTGGCACGCTGAGATCGTTCGTTTCGGAAAGCTCTGGCGCACCTGCCGCATTCGTCGGCACAAGGCTCGCGGATTTGGGATCCTGGTTAAGCTGGCTGAAAAGTGCAGAGAAGCGAGTGGTTCAGGAAGAGGGCTGTGCGGATGCTTTTTCAAAGGGCAGTTTTGTTTTAAATGGTCCGCTTTGTATCCTTTCCGTTAGACCTGCAAAAAGTTGTGCCACAAATGCCACCAGCATTCAAAACTGCAACCCAGCAGCTAGAGTGACCTGCCCAGCCTTCCAGTTGTGTCCATATCTTGAGCTCGCGCAGCAACGGCAACCCGGCATCACGACGTTCAAGAAGCGAATGAACAAGTACCAGGGGTCGCAGCCC